ATATATATATATATATATATATATATATATATATATATCTGTGAATATTAAACTGCAACAAACTTATTTAAATATGAATCCTCATGTTCTGCATGATCATTTGATTACCATAAAATACATAACACAGAATTTGTGAAAAATATATTCATTATTATTATTTATTCATTTTAGATGTTTACATTTGGAAAAGCTGTGCTTCCTGCATAAACCTGCCCCTGTTGGTTTGGCAGTAGCTTGCTTGCCCTACACAGTTACCTTGTTTAATTTCTTAATTCAAGTTATACATATTTTGTTTTATTTGTGTTTTTTAAGTTATTTATAATAAGTGAAGTTTACTGTTAAGTGCACTGATGTCAGACTCATTTTGAATAATAAAGCTTATTTTTAAATTGTTAAATACCCTGCCTCCACTACATAGGCCTATGTTTGTCACATCATTATAAGTGTTTGATCACCACATTTGAGTTATCATTGCAAAAAATGTGTTTATGCATGTATGTGTATATACTGTATATTCTATATACAGTACCAGTCAAAAGTTTAGACACACGAATGGGAAGTGTGTCCAACCTTTTGACTATACTGTACTATAATAGTCTACACAAAGAATATCGGCCGATATATTGATATCGGTCTTTTTTTACTCCCTAATATCAGCATCGGCCCCAAAAAAACCCATTATCGGTCGGGCTCTAAAGAGTAGTATGGCATACTATCGTATGGCATTTCGAACACAGCAATGGACAAAGGCAACCAGTAATCACTGTAGCTAAGCTGAATAACAAGCATAAACCCTAACGGATGAAACGTGAAGACAATAAATGATTGCGACAACATATGGTTTATGAGTGTTTTTCAAGTCTTCTCCAGGATGATACAATTAAATATATATGAATGATACAGTGCTAAATGACATAGCATTTATTACAGTACAGAAGCTATAAAATATATTTTCTGCCTTATTCTGTGATATAAACCAATCATAATCATAAAATTGTCATTAGGAAAATATATATCAAAAATATTCTAGAATACAAATTATTGGTTATTGTCCAGCAGTGTATTTTATTTCTTAGCCAATTAAAAGACATGTTTTTTTTTTGTTTTTTTTTGTCAATTACACAAACATACATAAATAAATATTATTATTATTATTACTACTACATTTGACATTTGTCCCCCACACTTCTGAAATGATTGCTATGCCCCTGCCCTGTCACATAACGGAATATAAAACTTTAGCTATATGCTGTGTTATCTTCATTTTAGGGATCAAATAGGTTTTGTGGCTCCATGTGAATTTTATTCGGTGGGAAAAAGACCAAAATGGCTCTTTTGATGTTGAAGGTTGCAGACTCCTAACCCTTTTATTGATGTGTGCATTTTTTTAGTGAGTATAAAATAGATATTAAATGAAATAACATTAAATCACATATTTAGAAGTCACTTTTTCAGAATAAAGTTCTATTTTGATGGCAAAAAATTATATATTTCTATAATTTAACAAATCGTGACTTAAACTGCATACACATATGCCGTTTAGCATTATTATGTGCAAGTAACATAAATCAATGCCAACATGATGAGTCTACAAGCCTAAATCACAACGAAAGCAAAACAAAAAAGTGAAGTGAAGACGGAAAAATTTTTTTGGAAAAAAATAAATAAATACATAATTTAGTTTTTTTTCTTGTGTTTTTTTTCTTTTGCATTTAATTGTACAAATGATTTTGCATTGTTCCTTTTTAAAGAAAATAACCTTGAAGAATTGTGTATAAGAAACATGGATTTGTTCTGCGTAACTGACCTAACAGAGCACATCCAGCCATCTGACAGGCGTCTGCGATGCCACCGATGACAGAAGATGCGACTCTCACGTCTAGATGGCCACAGGAGAAATAGTCAAGGAAGAAGAGTGGCTCAGCTCCTTGAGCGAGAACATCGTTCACACACATGGCCACCAGATCCTGACCCAGAGTGCTGTGGATGCCACACGCTTGAGCGATCTATGAACAACAACAACCAAATGTGATGAAGACCAGAGACCGCATTCACAAAACATTTTATCTTAACACTAAGAGCTTTCCTAAATAGCAGTCGTAGTTCTTAAGTAAGAGTTTCCTCTTAAAATCTATTCACAAAGCTTCCTGATTATACCCACAGTGATTGGCTGATTGGGACTCTGTCAGTGATTTAATCATAGCATCATATATGTTGCAGAACGAGGTATCATGTTGCCATATTCAAATAAAGATTTTAAGTGACATTAATTTAAACATGGATATATTCAGATATTTGCCAGCTTCTTACATGTCTGCATTTCATAAACAATTAGTGAATATGCATATAAGCAGGTTTTTAATGACCAAACTAGAATAATCAAGGCCGACAGTAAGATGTGCAAATGATACAAAAACAATATTAATATAAATATTAAGAGGAAAAAATAATATTTTGTGTCAATTAAATAAATGGAAAAATATTAATAATTTAAGTGATCAATGTCCACATGGCGAGTTCAGAAGTCTAAAATCCCACTGAAAGCAAAAAATTAAAAAATAAATAAGCAATCTTCACCAAAACAATATGCAAATTTACCAATTTAATCAATTTGTTTCCAATTGATTATTCGATTCATATTTCACGGGTTCTTTTTAAAATCTCATGCTGAAATTAGCTGCAAAAATACTTTTAAAAATCAGTATAAAAATTAAATTCTTAAAAACAATTACAATTAAATAACAATAAATCATGCTTAGGATCTATTTTTTCCCTCATTTTTATATACTACACCAGTATAAAGTGTTTTTTTTGTTGTTGTTTTTAATTTGATTGCAACTTTTCATTTTTAAATTTGACAAGGCATGATTAAACTCCCATAAGCGTATCCTGAAAGTGCATCCAAGTGCATTCAGATTAATTTTGTCTGTTAGTAGTTTGAGTGACGTGCTGCAATGATGTGTGCTAATCGACAGCATGTTGACTGACGCTGAGATTAAGCTTTGAACTCAAAACCTTCCTGTCAGAAATCAGCCTCAAAGAACTTCACAAAGTTCACAAGTTTCTAGAAGTAAACAGTCAGATGAATCAGCCATCAATCATCAATGAATGAGGGGAGAAATTCATGAGAAAACCCTGGCGGTTATAACAACATAATGAGATAACTGTGAAAGTGGAAGATCAGACTCCTGATAGACAAGAGAGGACTGACCTGGACGAGACGTGGCTTTAGCCAGAGGTTTGATCACGTCCACCAGTCTGTTCCCCGCTGCGATGTCCACACCGCTGTCCTTGTACGTCAGTCCTCTGATGGACAGAACAAAAACATTCCAACACCCTTCTGTGCTGTTGCTGTTCACTAAAACTATCACAAATCATTTGGTCCCTGAAACGATGCTGAAATATAACAAAATATAACTATTGAATGAAAAACCGCTTTGGCAACTAACTGAAGTTTAAGCTGAGGACCTACATTTACATAACCTAAAATAAAAAGGAATGCTAAATAGAAAAAAAAATTATATATATATATATATATATATATATTGGACACCAGAATTGTGAGTTACTGTTGCAATTCTGAGTTGTTGTTTTTTTACAATTCTGAGAAAAGTAGTCAGAATTATGAGATATAAATTCGCATATTCTGTTTGATGCAAACACTGCCATAATTCTAGGTGTACCGAGTGGTTGCGATGTAGTTGCTAGGTGTTCTAAGGGGTTGCCAGGGTAGTTGCTATGTAGTTACTAGGGCGTTCTGGGTGGTTATGTAGTAACTAGGGCATTCTGGGTGGTAGCTAGGTGCTCTAAGCGGTTGCTAGGGTGGTTGCCATGTTGTTGCTAGAGTGTTCTAGGTGGTTGCTAGGTGTTCTGAGGGGATGCTATGTTGTTGCTAAAGTGTTCAAAGCGGTCACTATATAGTTGCTAGGGTTTTCTAGGTAATAATAATAATAATAATAATAATTTATGCATTTAGCAGATGCTTTTATCCAAAGCGACTTACAGTGCATTCAGGCTATACATTTATGTGTGTTCCCTGGAAATCGAACCCACGACCTTTTGCGCTGCTAACGCAATGCTTTACCACTGAGCCACAGGAACATTTCAGGAACATTCTAGGTGGTTGCCATGTAGTTGTCAGAATGGTTTGGGTGGTCTCTATGTTGTTACTAGGGCGTTCTGGGTGGTTGCTAGGTGTTCTGAGGAGTTGCTATGTTGTTGCTACAGTGTTCTAGGTGTTTGCTGTATAGTTGCTAGGGTGTTCTGGGTGGTTGCTAAGTGTTCTAAAAGGTTGCTAAGGAGGTTGTTATGTTGTTGCTAGAGTACTCTGGGTGCTTGCTATATAGTTGCTATGGTGTTCTAGGTAGTTGCTATGTGGTTACTAGGGCATTATGGGAGGTTGTTATATGGTTATTAGGGTGTTCTAGATGTTTACTATGTGGTTGCTATGTAGTTGCTAGGGTAGGGTGTTCTGAGTGATTGCAACACACACACTAAACATTAATAGTCATAGTTAGTGATTTGAACAAATACATAACTCTAAACTGGAGCAGTAATACCACTAGTGATGCTTGACTTGCAGTCGACAATACTAACTGAAGCCAGAATGCTGTATTCATGACACTGTTTTTTAGAAATATGCAAACAAATTAACATAACATTGACCTCAAATGTGAATTATTCAATACACATCACCATTCAGATGCATAAAGTAAGTGTAGTGTTCTGCTATGTCTTCCAGGGTTAACAGGTTAGTGTTAGTTACCTGGTGCGGGTGAGGTACGTGATGGCGTGGTGGCCGATGTCACGGCGGTAAACCGCATCAGGGAAGCTGATCACTGCCACTCCTTCATTAGCACTGCATAACGCGCTCTCGAGGGTGGGCCGGACCGCAGTCACAGTCAAGACACGCCCACCACTCGTAATAACCCCGCCCCCTTCCTTAAGTGCAGTGCCCGCATGGAACACCTGAATGCCCATCTCTGACACCTGAGACAAACCTGAATAAACAGCAAACAATTAATTCACTTCACACTAACTTGACACTGAAACTGCTAAATCAAAGCCAATGTGATGTAACAGACACTTGTCATGTGGGGAATGACATCACTAAGATAATTCCTGGTGATCCGCATAACTGTGTCTCCAAAAATGATCAGACAATTTTTTTTAGATGGTTAAAAAAACAAAAAAACATTTGTTAAAATTTTTATTTTATTTTATAGTAATTATTATAGTTATTCTTAATTTTTTTTACTATATTTCTTTAAAAAGTGATGGATTAATGGATAATAATAATAATAATAACAATAATAATAATAAAAAAATGATAAATGAAAACTCCAAACCAAAAATGTATATTTGTTCAAAATTAATACTTAAATATTATTTAATAATATATTATAACAACTATAATTTTTTATATATATTTGTTAAAAATAATAATGGCTATTATTTAATTAGATTAGGAGTTATGTCCTAGTTTTTATGTCTTTAAAATTTATAAAACTGAATTTAAGACTTTGTAAGGATGCTGATACAGATATATATTTCATGTAAACGCACCAGTGATCTCCAGTCCCTTCTTATATGAGGCCGGATATCCTCCGCTAGCCATGACCACAGTGACAGCCGTACTGTTCTCCAGCCACTGCACTGGACTTGAGCTCAGGTCCGCCTGCAGTGTATTCTTCAACACCTCATATAAATCAGACTTCAGCAACGGCATCAGGACCTGACAGAGACACAGACAATCACAAGAAAAGTTTTGTGGAAAGACCAGACCCAAATTAAACCTGTTATTCACTGATTATTAGGGGTGCTCCAATTGATCGGCTACCGATCACTATCGACCGATAATCACATTGGGATGTTTGATCGGCGGCCTCTAAAAAGGCAGATCTCAAAAAAATGATCTCAAGCTGATGACGCTGCTGTGAGAGGTTTGGCATGACATGCAGCGGCACTTAGTCTCTGTCCGGTGCAGTAAAATAATTATAATGCTGAAGGTGAGGTACTCGCCTTCATATTTCTCCATTAAATAACTTGAAAACCTTGTGTGAGACGTAATTTCACAAACAGCGTGCGCTCGCGCTCTCTCTTTCTCTCTCAAAATACGCGAATGACTTCAAATCACCACACAGCGCGTCTGTCTATAAGCGAGCTGCATGCTGCACAGTTGATATAGGAATTGCCACTTGAGGCAATTGTGGCAGTGTCACATCGTCACTAAAGTTTATAAATTGCATTACTTTTTAATTCTTGCCAGTGTTTAAACCATTCAGCGTTTGCGTGCTCTCCTGGAGACTGTGAGTGTGGAGACTACACTCATGCACACTCGCAGCACACACACACAACGCCATGTTCACATTACTCCATTTGCAGTGCATATGTGGTGCATATTTTTTCCATGCTCATGTTAACGAATTAAAGCGTTCACTGCACATGGTTGCGGTCTGTCAGTGCGTTCCAGGAGCGGTACGCACCGCTCCTGCACTTGAGGCAATTGTGGCAGTGTCACATCGTCACTAAAGTTTATAAATTGCATTACTTTTTAATTCTTGCCAGTGTTTAAACCATTCAGCGTTTGCGTGCTCTCCTGGAGACTGTGAGTGTGGAGACTACACTCATGCACACTCGCAGCACACACACACAACGCCATGTTCACATTACTCCATTTGCAGTGCATATGTGGTGCATATTTTTTCCATGCTCATGTTAACGAATTAAAGTGTTCACTGCACATGGTTGCGGTCTTGTCAAGCGGTACGCACCGCTCCTGCAGCAGTGCAGAGATTGTTTCCGCACCAAGTCTATTGCTGCGCCGCAAGCACTGAATTAAAGTAACAGCGCATTGTTTGCAGTAAATATGAACATGGATTGACACGAAAATGTAGTAATTACACTATAAATGCATATTATTAAAGTCTACCGTGTTTCACAGTCAACACGATATGGCTTTTTGGCTAGGTTTAAAGGGAAAGAGCACTTTTAGATAAACAAGGCAATAATAGATGGCACTGGTGGAGGTAGGAAAACAAAGTTCTTTATGAACCGCAGGATTGCTTGTAATAAAGATTTAAATGCAAAAGAAAATGCAGTAGAGCTGACTATTTCTGTCAATGGTAAGTTTGTGATAACGTAAGAAAAGTAGTTTAAATGTTTTGCCACTTGCTTGAGCAACTTAATATATAAATCTAGAATTAAATGCAAAAGTAAAAAGCATTGAATAATGCGTTGCTTATATTTATTGTGTTTAAACATGTCTGTAAAAAATTGTATTACTGTTCTGTGTAAAAAAATAATTGCAGTGCTGAAAAAGCATTTGTGATGTTTGGATTTGAAATCAAAATAATGGATAAATGTTGTGTTTGTGGTAAACAGCCACGGATCAGTAGTGGAGTCCTGTGTGAAAGCACAATCCGTGCTTCTTCCCCTCTGACGAGACACCTAAGAGGGGAATTCCCCCCATTTTCAAAAATGAAATTCAGGCCCTGAATAAATGTCTAAAAATCCTGATTGGAGTATCACTATAAATAGTTATAAATACTAAAAAGAAGGCTTTATAAAGATCGTGATTGGTATCGGCAGATACTGCTTTCTGTGATCGGTGATCGGCCTCAAAAACCCTGATCGGAGCACCACTATTTATAGAATAATATCCACCAATGAATTGTTCACAATAACAATAAGTGTATAATAAGCAATAATTGAGATTTTATGCCAGTGTTTAATTATTTTGTCATCAGGTGCGTGGCCGGTGCTCATTGATGACTTTGTGGAATTTGCTCGGCCGATCGTGACTGCAGAAAATCACAAGACTCTATAATGAGTGCTTACAGGGAGGCCTCTCTATACTGAATTTTTTAATAAAAAAAACAACAAATGCATTTAAAAATATATATTATTGAACGGAGAGAGTTTGTACATTATGAGTCTGCTGCTGGCAGGCAGTGTCACATCGTCACTAAAGTTTATAAATTGCATTACTTTTTAATTCTTGCCAGTGTTTAAACCATTCAGCGTTTGCGTGCTCTCCTGGAGACTGTGAGTGTGGAGACTACACTCATGCACACTCGCAGCACACACACACAACGCCATGTTCACATTACTCCATTTGCAGTGCATATGTGGTGCATATTTTTTCCATGCTCATGTTAACGAATTAAAGCGTTCACTGCACATGGTTGCGGTCTGTCAGTGCGTTCCAGGAGCGGTACGCACCGCTCCTGCAGCAGTGCAGAGATTGTTTCCGCACCAAGTCTATTGCTGCGCCGCAAGCACTGAATTAAAGTAACAGCGCATTGTTTGCAGTAAATATGAACATGGATTGACACGAAAATGTAGTAATTACACTATAAATGCATATTATTAAAGTCTACCGTGTTTCACAGTCAACACGATATGGCTTTTTGGCTAGGTTTAAAGGGAAAGAGCACTTTTAGATAAACAAGGCAATAATAGATTGCACTGGTGGAGGTAGGAAAACAAAGTTCTTTATGAACCGCAGGATTGCTTGTAATAAAGATTTAAATGCAAAAGAAAATGCAGTAGAGCTGACTATTTCTGTCAATGGTAAGTTTGTGATAACGTAAGAAAAGTAGTTTAAATGTTTTGCCACTTGCTTGAGCAACTTAATATATAAATCTAGAATTAAATGCAAAAGTAAAAAGCATTGAATAATGCGTTGCTTATATTTATTGTGTTTAAACATGTCTGTAAAAAATTGTATTACTGTTCTGTGTAAAAAAATAATTGCAGTGCTGAAAAAGCATTTGTGATGTTTGGATTTGAAATCAAAATAATGGATAAATGTTGTGTTTGTGGTAAACAGCCACGGATCAGTAGTGGAGTCCTGTGTGAAAGCACAATCCGTGCTTCTTCCCCTCTGACGAGACACCTAAGAGGGGAATTCCCCCCATTTTCAAAAATGAAATTCAGGCCCTGAATAAATGTCTAAAAATCCTGATTGGAGTATCACTATAAATAGCCCTGAAATAATCAGGCCTTCAATTTAAGCAGCTTCTTCCCCTCTGACGAGACACCTAAGAGGGGAATTCCCCCCATTTTCAAAAATGAAATTCAGGCCCTGAATAAATGTCTAAAAATCCTGATTGGAGTATCACTATAAATAGTTATAAATGATAAAAAGAAGGCTTTAAAAAGATCGGTATCAGTGATCGGTATCGGCAGATACTGCTTTCTGTGATCGGCGATTGGTCTCAAAAATCCTGATCGGAGCACCCCTACTGATTTATCTTTTTCTCCAGTGAGTGGTTAACTTAAGAATGATGTGACTGGATCCCCAAGTCAAATCGAGAACTGAATCAGTACATGAATCCTTCTTTTGCATCGGTTCATTACAATGAACCAGTAGATTTGCGTTACTCCATCTGATCTGATTACAGCGCCTTCAGGTTTTCCAGTCTGAACAACATTTCAGAAGATTTGGAAAATAATTATAACATGTATAACATTTGGAACATGTATTTTACATATATACACATACTGTTAAAAGATATAATAAACAAAACAAAAAGGAATAATTAGTAATGGTTAGAATATATTATATACAGTGCACAGCATCAGTTAGTACACCTCCTCTGAAACATAAATTCAGCAATTACTCATTTACTTAGAAGACATGTTAAGGTTCTTTAGAGATAATGTTCCAACAAGTCTGCTTGATCAATTACCAAATAAGCTTGTCAAAATTATTCAGGACAATATGATTTTTCTTATTAAAGTGTTTATGTTATGTCATGTTCCAAAAATGAGTACACACTCCAGAAAGTTACTAAAAACTAAATTAAATTTTTCTGGTATACGTTTAAGGCAATTTTTGATCAACAGGTATGTATATTGAACCAAAACATTTAAAGAAAAGTAATTTGTTAACAATTAAAATTGTTATATAGCCCACCGAATCATTCTGAGACTTAATGCTGGAACCACTTTCAGGAGACTCATTTCATTGCACAAAAGAGGACAATGGTACATGAGGAATACCAAACCATAGTTTTAAGTGTGAAAATACAGCAAAAGTAACAGATTCAAAAACAATGGGCTTGTGACCAGGCCCCTGAAATAATCAGGCCTTCAATTTAAGCGTTCATTTACAGATGAGTGATTTATTTATTTTTGCTAGAAAAAGAGCAGGGGAAATACCAAGCAAGTGCCTCAGAGCTGGCAAAAGCTATGAAAAGAGTGACTATTTATCTCACAGAGTTAGATGCAGCCTGCAGATTTGACATGCACGGCTGTTGTCCACACTGGAACTACAGACTGTAGCCAAAGCACAATAAACTAATTTAGCCTTTTCCAAGGCCCATAATTACAAAATATAGACTTCTGGGAATCCATACTCTGGTCTCATGAGACCAAGTCAATCATTTCAGCTCTAACAGCATCCAAAATATTTTGGTGTTGCTAGTGAAGGATTTCAGTGTGAAGTGCCTGGTTCCCACAGTGAAGTTCAGTGGTAGTAAAGATGTATGAGTGCTGAAGGTGTGAGGGATTTGTGATTTATCAGTGCTGTCATGAATTCACACACCACTATGTGATGTAATACAAAAACTTGAAACAGAAGATGCTACACTCTCCTCATTCCCTGCGTTGCTGGGCATTTCTTTAAACATGACACTGACTATATACATGACAATCCTTCAGTGGACATGTATTTCACCCAATCTTAACACTCTTGAAAACCTGTGGGGGATTCTGTAGAGACGAGTTGAGCAACACTCTCCATTAGAGATCAGGGCGTTTAAGGAGATCATCATCCAGGAGTGAAATGGGACAGATGTGACAATTTGTCATAAACTTGAACACTTCATGCCAAGAAGGGTCAGAGCTGTAAAATTATGGAGGACATACTAAGTACTATAATATTATACATTTACTGAATTAAATCTAGGATGTACTAATTTCTGCAATCCATTATTTAAACAAAATATTTACAGATATTAATGACATATATTTTGCCGTTCTTATTAAGTATGTGTTTAATATTTCAATTGTGCCATTTTTCCATGACCTGTATTAGTGATCATTAAGAAAATTCATATTTTGTATTTGTTCAGAGGGGCTGTACTCATTTATGCTGTGTGCGCTGTATAAGAAAATTATAATAACTGTTTTAATATATATATATATATATATTGGCCTTCTGGAAAGTATGTTCATTTACTGTACATGTACTCAATACTTGGTAGGGGCTCCTTTTGCTTTAATTACTGCCTCAATTCGGCGTGGCATGGAGGTGATCAGTTTGTCGCACTGCTGAGGTGGTATGGAAGCCCAGGTTTCTTTGACAGTGGCCTTCAGCTCATCTGCATTTATTGGTCTCTTGTTTCTCATTTTCCTCTTGACAATACCCCATAGATTCTCTATCGGGTTCAGGTCTGGTGAGTTGCTGGCCAGTCAAGCACACCAACACCTTGGTCCTTTAACCAAATTTTGGTGCTTTTGGCAGTGTGGGGAGGTGGAGCAGAAGGAAGCATGAAGTGCTCCAAAATTTCTTGGTAAACGGGTGCAGTGACGTTGGTTTTCAAAAAACACAATGGACCAACACCAGCAGATGACATTGTACCCCAAATCATCACAGACTGTGGAAACTTAACACTGGACTTCAAGCA